AATTTATATTAAAAACTGCGTTGGTTGCATGTATGCAGCATCTTTGTTTGGATGATGATTAAAATGCAGTGGTTGCCTCTAATTTTAAATGGAAAGAGCACAGACAAAGCCTTAGTTTGTTTATATGAAGAGATTTATTTTATTTGTGTCACTTATTTATTTGATTTGGGGCTTGTTTAAAAATGTCAATTTAGTTTTGTTATTTACATTTACATTATATAAAAATTTTTGTTATTTAGCAGACGCTTTTGTCCAAAGCGACTTACAAATGAGAACAATAGAAGCAATCAAAACCAACAAAAGAGCAATAATTTACAAATCCTATATTATTATAGTGTCATTTCAATTTCACAAAGAAACGTACAATATTTTGTCCAAGCAATAATAAAAGGACACATTTAATTTATAATTTCTTAAATCTCATTTTGTTTAAAAAAAAATCGTGAATCGAATCATGAAATCAAAATCGTGAATCGAATTGTGAGTTGAGTGAATCGTTACATCCCTACTTCCGAGTCTACAATACGCCACGCCTATTCAAATGGAGCGTTCCGATGAGGGGGTTCAAAACAGGACAGAAAATAGCCTATTACTTCTAATTTGTTTTTTTGATGTAAACATTTTGAAAACATTATAAGTGGACCTCAGAGAACAGTACAAAATAATAAAAAAGGCAGTGTATGACCCCTTTAATTGAAAGATGGTGCAAATCCATTGGTGAACCTGTTGACAGGCACTGCAAGAGTGTGTATAGTTATCTTATCTCCTGCTGTGTGTGTTGCGCCACATGCAGCAATCAAACACTCAATAGGTAATCAGGGTTCAAGACTTGTGACTGTGATTTTCACTTCATTGATGGTGTGAGCGAAGTGTGTGTGTTACTTTTTGATGTCAAGTGTCCATTCCTCTGAGAGATGCAAAATCTAACACCAATTTAAAGTCTCACACATGCACAAACTGCAAGCATGCTAAAAAACAAAAACAAACAAACAAACAAAAAACTGTAGTTGGCGGTAAGTGAAACTTCAGACAGGAAAGATTTAATCAACCACTTCCGAAGACATTTCATTATATAAATAAAATCCTTGGGAGGATTTTATAGATATAGAGGAGGATGGAGAGGTGTAGTGTTTAAATGGCATTGGTATCTGTTGTGTGTTAAGATTGAGGTAGTTCCCCTTGATTGTCAACTAGGAAAAAGCAAAATGTACATTCATAAACAAATGCGGAATGCAGTTTACTTGGGTTAGGATCCTCAGTGTTGGATGACACTGCTGTGAATTCACTGGCTTTCAGGGCTGAATTTAGGGTTTCTGTGGTGTATCTATCTAGTGTAATCATACAAGAATGAATGCCAGTTCTAGCCCTTAATGCACACAGATTAGGTTGTATGTGTTAAGATGGGAGTTGTTTATGGTAGTCTAGCTTGTTTATGAATGAAAGGCCAACTTGATTTTTTTTTTTTGGTGATTATGGTGGAAAATGTGTAATTCTGCAGGGAATGGTGCTGTTCTGCTCTCATTGGCAGCTGAATGACATGTATTCAAAACTCTAAAAATGCATTTCAATTAAGTAAAACTAATCAATGAATTTTCAGTTCTACTACCATTATAAAGTTTGGAATTAGTAAGATAAAGATATTAATACTTTTATTCATCGATAACACTGATGATAATAATAAGAAATGTTTCTTGAACACCAAATCAACATATTAGAATGATTTCTGAAGGATCATGTGACACTGAAGACTTGAATAATAAAATTCAGCTTTGCCATCATAGGAATAAATTGAATTTTAAAATATTCAAATAGCATATATCCTTAAAAAAAAACAAATGTGTGAGCACATTCAAATTATGTACTTTTTTTTTTTTTTTTTTTTTTCCACAAACAAGAAAAAAGAAAAATATTAAAGACATTGTTAAAAAGAAATGGAAAAAAAATTGCACAACTGTACATGTAAGAAATGCTCTTGCTTCAGTTTTGTCCACTGGCTGACAGTCTTAGTTTGT